CTTTCCCTTCATATTCTTGTGCTCCCCCAAGTGTTGATCTTCTGATGAAGCAGTGATGTCCAGTCAAAAGAAAACAGTTTGTGTTATCTTCATCATCTACTACCTCACAGCCTTCGCTTCCGACAGCCAAGCAACGTGTGCACCGAGCAGCATAGCACATTTCACAGGAAACCACATCCAACAAAGAAATTCTCTCACATTCACTAGGTTGTACTAGTGACCAACCAAGAATTAAATCAGTATAATTCAACTATAGATTTTATATATAGTCTGGGAGCTTGAAAAAGCAGCTGTTATTCTCTGTTCAGGTCATAAACCAAGTGTTAAAAAGAGACACACACCGTGTCTGTGTGCACATGCACACACGAGTGCTCGCTCTCAAGCGACAGGACGGCAAAAGCTTAATGGCAAATCAAACATCACCATTACACTGCTTACACCATTTCTGAGATGTGAGTTTGTAAAGTACTTCACTAAAATATGCTGCATCATTTTCACAACCTACTTCAGAAGAAGAGCAAGCTACTTCATTACTTCTTTTCCCCTCCTCACTTATTCTCAGGTCAATAAATATCAGAAAAGCAAAATCCATGTGGATTATCAATGCTTACAGGTTACATAATCCTACAATCTCAAGTGAGAATTTGGCAGTATTTCATGTCAAAGCAAACAGCTATTACCTTCAGGTGTTTTATCTGTTTGCTTACCTTTACTTGCACTCTCAACGTGCTGCAGTTCATCTGGAAATTTCAAGATGTCACGGTAACTCTCCTCACAGATTTCTGCCAGAAAATGCAGCAGGGTTGTTTTCTGATCTGATGATTTAGTATCTCGAATCTAAAAGTGAGCACAGGAGGAAAAAAAAAAAAAGCTTCTTGTGAAATGTTTAAATAAAGTGAATATTGCAGATGTAAACTCATTAGCAAAAAATTATTTACATTGGTTGCCTGCAAATGAAACAATTCAACAACTGAAATTTCTCCAGTTCTTCATAATTTAAAACTACAGCAGCAATCTAGCCCTGTGCTGTATTTCTTGAAAGAACAATTAATTATGTTGAGAAAAAAACCTGAAGACATTCTGTAAAGTTCTGAGATTTTAGCAACACCAGTTCAGAGTGCTTGCTGTGATTAAAAAATAGCTATGAATAGAGATTAAACAGAACAGAATTTTGTTCATTCTTCCAATGCCCCCCACTGTCAGATTTCTAAAAGAAACCTTCTGAAATGCTGCATACCTGGACAGCACGCTCTAAGTCAGAATTTGCTCTTTATCAGTCAAGTTAAAGAAAATCCTTGTCGTAAATCCACAATTTTTTATTGAAGCACTATCTAAAACATTTTGCTTATCCTAAAGACTTTCAGGCAAATTTCATACAGACACATTAAATAAATGTGCCTTGCTGTAATTTATTACATCCCGTTTTATTTATAAAAAGCTGCATGAAAATTGTACACAGTGTGCAGGAATAGGTAATTTCATATTTTCACTGTCCTCTCAACTGCAGAGGAACTTTTTACTGATGTGAACTAAACTAGTTTTCTATAAGGTGATTAGATGTTCTGTTCTCCATTAACCTAAGTGCATTAACAACTAGAATCAGTTTGTTATTGAAAAAAAATAATTCTGAAATAATTATTATAATACAGGGCTAGTGGCAAATTTCCAAGTAAACAGATACTTCTGGTTAAATCCCATGGCAGAGGGCAGAGCACATCTGCATACGCAAAGGAACATCATGAACTTAAAAGAATGAGAGAACAAATTTAAGTCCAAATTTAGTTTCTCCACTTTTATGCAGATATCAAGAATGTGTGTATGAGCTGATTGAAGATTTAGTGGAAGTAGAAACTACCCCTTCTTACAAAAGCAATAGAAGGAGTAGGTGTGTGCAAGAGTTTCAAGATGTGTACTTCACTTTTTATAGAGAATGAGTACTGCAAGTCTATCTGCAAAGGTTTTTTTTAACTGCATTGTACTAACTCATCCAGTACAGTTCTTATACAGAAGCTACAACATACACAACAAATGAAATCAAGGATTTATTTAAGAAGAATACATAAATGTGTGTGTAAAATCTCCTATTTGTTTTCTCATTCTCTAAATCACTAGAAGTTCTAATTCTATAATCCTCATGACAGGCTGCCATCGATGTTCAATTTAATACAGGCCTTTCAGCTTTAAGGATTACACTGTTAAGAATAAATGAGTGCAGCTGAAAAACAGGCTTTTAAAAATATAAGGTATTTAGGCAATTAAGAATGCACTTTAATTCATACCGATTCAGTGATTAAAGACTAAACAATGCTCAGTAATGGTATGCAGTTAAAAGGTTTTAATGTGTTATGTACATAGAAGTTCTTCCAACTTGATTTAGTGGCTGAACATCTGCATGGTAAAAAGAAATTGCATTTCAATTTGTCTGTGAACAAGAACTGTGGGATTTGCAGTCTTTGATCTCTCTGACATCATCAAGTGGATAAAGCATTTTTTTTTTCTAAATGGACAAAATTAATTTGCCTTTAGATTAGGACAGAAATATGTTTTGTCACCAACAGTAACATCACATTAACAAAAGTTAGTATTAGCACCTGCTGAGTAGTTTAAAACCTGTAGCAAACATTCATTCAGATCTTAAACAACTCTGTTGAATTAATTTTTTGGCCCCATCAAGAAACATCTCAGCTACATGCATCCAGATTTTCAATAGCTAAGAGACTCAACAGATAACATGTAGTTCTGTTTGATCTTTAGAATCAATGTATGTCTTTTAAAAAGTAAGTTCTAAGCCTCCTAATATAATGAGAAGGTAAGCAAGACAGGTTGGCTTTGAGTGGTGTTTAGTAAATATTATTTAAGCATAAAAAGAGAAATGAAAGATAGAACTGGAATGCTGACAACAGTATGGCTGAGGCTTTACTTTCCCTGTATTCACAGATTATACTTGTATTCAAGGTAAGTTTTTTGTCTCCTCCTTCATTATTGTGTAGAATTTAACGTGTTTTTTATATTATGGAAAAGACAATCTGGGTATTTTGAATTTAAAAGTCATCTTTTAAAGAAGTGAAATTTGTTTTTCTCCTATCCAGTTAGTGTCCCTAGTTTCAACGCACAACCCCAGTCTCATTCTTTTGCTGTACACTTTGCTAAAAATCTCCATTCCACCTTCACAAGTAACATACTTGGTATTGGAAGATTGCTACAGGTTCACCCCCAAAAACCTTCGTGTCTCTGGACTGGACAAGCCCAGTTCCATCAGGCTTTCCTCAGTGCTCCACCCCATGACCAACTTGGTGGTCCTCCACTCCAGTTTACCAACAACAAAAACCCAATATTGAACACCACGTTCCATATGCAATGCAGGAAATGGGGAATGAAGAGGAAAAAAAAGTCACTCCCTGTGATGTCCTGACTATGCCCCTACCAATAAAGGCCAGGATGCTGGCAGCCCTCATGGCTGCCAGGGCACACTACTGACTCATCTCTTTCCATTAGTACAGACTCCAGGTTTTCTGTAGAGTTGCCTCCTGCTCTCAAGATACCGCTTTGGCAGCAGGTAAAGCCTGCCCCAAGTGCAGGACTTTGTGCACAGCGTATCACTGTATCACCATGTAAATAAAAAAACAAAACCCAGCTTTAAAATACTGTTATTCTCTTTCAGGATAAAGCAAAACTGTCCTTTTATAAGCAAGAGCTCTGAAAAGGGGTAATTTCAGACGCTAGACTTGCCAACAAAAATACACTTAGGGCCTCTGCTACTTTAAAAGGTTAATAAACAGAAAACCAAGACTAAGTATTTACTTTCTAATCAGAACACCCTCAGGCAGCTCACGTTTAGTCAATGTATTCTGAACCAAAAAAGTCTCTTGCTTGGGTTAGCTGACTAAGAGCAAAACATGGAAAATAAAACACAACAGTATTTTTTCCTCATTTTCATTTCTTGCACTTTCGCTCGTTACTTTCACAGATGGTAACTGAAGCTAAGATTTCAATTAAACAGTGACTAGACCTAAATTAGAAAAAAATATGGTATCTTTTAAATAAACCTTAATAGATCAATCACTGAAACAGAAAAATATACCCAAATGAAATATTCTAGGCATTCCAAATTCCAACAGATATTATGGGTTCACATGGGACCAAAAAATGAAAAATTACATCTGTTTTATTGCCTTATTAATGTTCCAGCCTCACAACTGTAGGTACATACAGACATAAGCCAGTGCAAAAGAAAAAGTGGACTGTACAAAAGGTTACACCTTTAAAAGTAGCCAGAATTTCATTGCTGGTCACCCAAGTACATTAAACAAAAAACAAAATTAATAAAATGGGTTAAAAAAAATGGATGTTGCTTCCTGTCTAATATACACATGTAATGGTATGTGAGTTTGTGAAACTTAAAAATCTCTGCCTTTCAAATGTTTTTGCATCATGTCCCCTATATTTTCATCCTTTTAATTCCCAAAGTATTACCATGTTAGCGAAGTTGACAGTTGGTAAACGAACAAAACTCACCAACAGTAACAGAATTCACCATTTGCAATATAAATAATTGCTTTTTCTTCTATATCATCAGCAGCATTCACACACTGGGACATGAAAGGTCTTGCAGAGCAGTTCTGTACATGTGGCATTTGCAAAACATTAACAATGTGTGTCACTGACTGAAGGTTTTCCAAATTTATTTATTTTCAAGAAGACACTAACACTGAGGTGTTAAAAGTGTCAAGTACAGGGTTTGATTCTATGGCCTTTATCTGATAGAGATTGGGAATAACACTTTTAGTAAAAAAAAAAAAAAAAACAAAATAGAAATCAGTAGATCAGTGTAAGCTACAGAAAGCAGCTTCTAGCTGAATGTTGAAGCACCAATTTCAGTGGTCAATACCATATTTGTTGTTAGGGAAAAAATTAAAGACTAATACATGCAGAGCATAAGGGTCTCCTGTTCTTGACAAGAGACAAACTGCTGCAACAGGGGTTCAGAACAGCATTTGGATCATTTATTTGTATCAATCCAACCCAGCAACAGGTTAAAAGATTTACCTTTAGTGAAGTGCCACAGAAGACTCTCTGAATTCTGTCACTTTTTCTGCCATGTTTATATTTTCACAGAGCACTTAACACTCTAGGCAATCATGAATGCTCTAGTGCATACATCAGAATAGCTGCCACTGCTTGCCAGGCTTGGTACAGCACGTGAATTCTAATGCTGATCTCTCTTATTTGAACAAAATTAAGTTCTCTGTCTTCTGCCAAAGGTTGTTTACAAATCATTTCTTTCTTCAATAACATCATACACTGCTATATAACATCCAGAAAGATAATTTGTTTTTACAGATTTGCAATTACCATACAGGCATTAGCTTTTTAGCTATGACCAGACAGGTTTGAATTCATGCTTTCTTTTCTTCATTTCCTTTCCTATGTTTTAATGGAAGTTGTTACACAGCAGCAGATTTCTGTGTACAAAATGACCAGCTCTGTTTTACAAACATTTATTTTACAATAACAAGCATTTACCCCAGATCAATACTTGCCTATTTTCTTTTCTTTTTCAGATCATGTAACCTAAGTACTACATCTACTAAACAATTAATTTTAAGATTGTTGAAGGTTGACAAAAATAATCAATATGAAAATCACGTTTTATTGAAAAGTGAATTCATCATGTTGGGATTCCTCAACACTAAAAATTCTTATGCCTATTCTGCACACAGATATATGTACACACACATTTGTTCTACCATGCTGACAGCCTGCCAAAAAAAAAAAGCTTTCTTCTCATGTGCAGAAAGCCCAAAGATGTTAAAGACAGTATATATCATTGCTCTAAAAAATATAGCAAAACCCTACAAACAAAAAAACTAACCACAAATAAAACAAGCACCAAGCTTTTAAAAAACACTGACTGAATTATCCACTGGTTTAATTCCCCTTATGCTAATATGTTTTCTGGTTATTTTTACTGAAATTTAACCACTGTTTTTAGGCAAAACACCAACCTACAGAAAACAGCTAAAAATTAACATATGAGTCACAGTAAGTTACATTTATTATGTATTCTGTCTACATAACAGCAATGTCCTTCCAGAACAACAATATTCAGAGTTGTTTAACTTGCATCTTACTTTGTCCCATGCAGTATCTTACAAGGAGAGTCACCAAAAAATTAGACAAAGAAATTACCAACATTTTAAAACATTAAGCCAGATGATTTTGTTTGATTTAAAAACTTCTATTGAAACAGCTCTAACTTTAGACAGCATATCAAGAGGGGATTCTCCTCCTGTACTCTGTTCTTGTGAGACCCCACCTCGGATACTGCATCCACTTCTGGTGTCCCCACCACAAAAGGGACATAGATCTGTTGGAACGAGTCCAGAGGAGGCCACAGAGATGATCCA